TAGAGACCAGCCTGGGCTACAGAGTGAGTTTAAGGCCAGCCCAAACTGCATAGCAAGAACAAAAAGAAGGAAGGAAGGAAGGAAGGAAGGAAGGAAGGAAGGAAGGAAGGAAGGGAAAGAAAGAGAAAGAAAAGAAAGAGAAAGAGAAAGAAGCAGGAGACATAAACAGATATTTGAATGAAGAGGATATGACAAATTAACTCATTAGGGGTCGGGGAGATGGCTCAGTGGAATAAGCGCTTCCCTGGCAAGCGCAAGGGCCTGAGTTCAATCTCCAGTTCCGCCAAAGGAAAAAAAAAAATTAACTCATTAAAAGATGTCCATTAGGACTGGCCAGATAGCTCAGCAGATTAAAGCACCTGCTTAGGCAGATGCAGGGACCAGAGTCTGATTCCTGTTGTGCTGTGCCAGCCCTGCCCCCGGGGCACGCTGAGATGGTGATTGAGACTGGGCATGGTGGCATGCGCCTGTAATCCCAGCACTTGGGAGGCTGAAAACAGGAGAATCACTGAGTCAGATCTGTGTAGTGAGACCCTGCACTAACTAAATGCATTTAAAAAAATAAAATTTAAAAAAAAAAAAAAGTTCTGTATTGGCCATCAGGGAAATGCAAATGTAAACCACAATGAGTTGTTACTACAGACCTGTCAGAATGCCTAAAATCTTAAGGCATAACACAAAATGCCAGTGAGGATGCTGAGACTGGATCACATATGTATTTGCATGGATAAACATAAAATGGTACAGCCACTCTGGGAAGTAATGTAGCAATTTCTTAAAAAGCTAAAAATACTGGGCAGGTAGTGCACACCTGTAATCCCAGCACTCAAGAGACAGAGGCAGGAGTTGGAGGCCAGCTTCCAACTGGCCTGGGTGGGCTACATAGTGAGTTCAAGACCAGCCTGAACTACACAGGAAGACCCTCTCTAAATAAATAAATAAGCTAAATATATAAACATCATACCACCCATAATCACACTGTTGGTATTTATCCCATGTAAAGCATACTCACACAAAAACCTGTGCATAAATATTCACAGTAGCTTTTAAAAAATGTATTAGGTACAGGGTTCCACTACACAGCTCAGACTCGTAGTGATCCTCCTGTTTTCAGCCTTCCCAGCACTGGGATTATAGGCCTGCACCACCATACCTGGACTCAGTGGCTGGCTCAGTGTGCCCAGGGGGCGGGGCAGGTGCAGCATGCGGTACTGGGATCGAACCCTGGTCCCTGCACTTGCTGAGGCAGGTGCTTAGCTTGCTAAGCTATTTCGCCAGCCCTGAGGGAATATGGTTATAGGAGGGTAACATGAAGGTCCTGGTGACGATGACAGTAATAGATATCTTGGCTATGTCACAGGATACAATTCAGGTATCCTATCCAATATGGTGAAAGTATTCTGTGGATGTACTATATTAGATGCTACCATGAGGGGGATTGGTCACAACTGCGTATGAATCTGCAATTGTCTTCGGATAATATATATATATATATATATATATATATATATATTTTTATTTATTTATTTTTTTTTTAACTGTTTGACTTGGGCTGGGGATGTAGCTCAGTGGCACAGGCACCTGCCTGGCATACACAAGGTCCTGAGTTCGATTCCAAGTACCACAAAAAAAAAACCCCTCAAACTTCAAAATGGTTTTGACCCAGGCCTAGTGTCACATGCCTGTAATCCCAGCACTTGGGAGGCTGATGCAGAAAGATTGCCATGAGTTCAAGGCCAGCCTGGGCAACAAAATGAGTTCAAGGCCAGCCTGAACTGCATAGTGAAGCCTGTCTCAAAAAAACCAAAAAGAAAGAAAGAAGGGAGGAGTCTCATAATGACGAGAGCTCTGGGTCGCACGTGCTTTGCTCCGTCTCCCCTGCCCCAGGGTTGGGGATTGAACCCAGGGCCTCACATGCTAGGCAAGCACTGTACTGCCGAGCTACATCCCAGCCAGCGCTCTGTCTTCTTTTCCTTGACTTGCCCAACATAGAACTGAGGCACATGCTTTGGCCGCAGCATAGATTATTTGAAGAGAGAACTGTGCAGGAAATCCCTGACCTGAATACCCTTAGCTCTCCAACTCCTCCTCATCGTTCTGATTTTCAGGATCTGGCTCCTCAAGAGCTAACTTAAAAGGCCCACAGCTCACTCCCACCAGGTAGTCATCTCAAAGTACAGTGTCAGGACTACAAATGTCACAGTGGCCGGGGAGGTTCATAGAGGACTTTATTCCCTCAGGGATTCTAATTCATACCTCAGCTTCAGAAACAACTAGGCTCAAATTTGCAGCCAGGATTTTCTGGGCAGTATTAAGAGTTCCCACGCTGAGCTGTGCTCTAAAAGGACTTTGTGAAAAGGAAGGGCTGAGTAGGAACCCTGTGGCAGCCCTGGCTCCCACTCCTGTGCACAGAGCCGCCTCCCCAGGTGCCCGAGCTCACCGCGGCGTTGGGCTCGATGAGGCGCAGCTGCAGCTTCTGGGCAGCCTCCCATTGCCCCGTGAGGCACAGTCGCTCCAGCTGGCACACCGGGGCCCCCAGGACATTGGACAGGGCACACACGCCCCCCACAGCTCCTGCAGTCGGACGGACACAGACCATTAGCCAGGGCCGCTTCCCACAGGGAATCCCGACACTGATCCCCAAAGCTCTTCATCCTGGGGCATAAGCCATGAATTTCTATGCCCCTGTTGGCCATGCTGTGTGAATCCACCTACACATTCCCAGAGAGAAAAGGATGCTTTCATGTTCGAAACAGAACCCCACGGGCCAAGCAGTCTGTGAAGAGCAGGGAGGTGAGCTCAGGCCTCCTCCCCTCCCCTTCCTGGCCCCGGTTCTGGCTGCCCATTGTCATCGCTGGCTCATTACCTCTGGAAGGGTCTAGAGCAGCAGTGAGCTTGTGCCTCCTGAAATCTGTTCCCCTGGGACAGTGGAGGGGTGGGGGTGGGGAAGAGGAACGGAGAGGGCTGTAGGCACAAGATCGGGCTGTGCATGTCGTCTTGCTGGCTGCCTCATGGACAAGCTGCAGGCCCTCTCTCATGCCCTTTGTGCTCATCTGGGTAGTGAAAATGTGTTGGTTGTAGCCTCAGAAACCTCAGCCATCTCTGCCTGCCTTTGAGTGTGATTAAGGGTAGCTGGGCCAGAGAGATGGCTCCGTAGAATAAGTGCTTCCCTGGCAAGCGCAAGGGTCTGAGTTCAATCCCTGGTTCTGCCAAAAAAAAAAAAAAAAAAAAAGGGTAGCTGGGGGTGGCCCTAGGTACAGTGGCCTCAGGACTGGAAAGAAAGGGGGCAACTGGAATGAACAAACGCAGCTACCATTTACAGAACACCTACCGTGTAGCGGGCACTATGGCAGGCCTGATGCTAATGCTCGGAGTACCTCCTGGGGTCAGAGAGACTGTGCGCGTTGCCCCTGTTACTCGATGAGTAATTGGGAAAGCTGAGATTCCAGCTCAGATGTCCCCATGCCGGAACCTCTTTCCATGCACTCTACTCTCAAGAAGGAGCTGGAAGTGGGTCCCCTCTTCTTTTCCTACACTTTAGAGATTACAACATGGCAACGGTATATGTGCAAAGAACTATGTACAAAGTCTGCAGAGACTAGAGGGAATAGGAGCTCTTTCCCCTTGCAATACAGAAAGTCCTTGACTTTTGAATGAGTTCTGTCTTGGGAGAATGTTCATAAATCAGATTTACTCATGATCCAATAAAGCGAGTCTTATACAATGTACCTGTAGTTTGTTTGCTTGTTGTCTTTTTGAGACAGGGTCTCACTATGCAATTCAGACTGGTCTTGAGCTCACTTTGTAGCCCAGGCTGGTCTCAAACTTTCAACAATCCTCCTGCCTCAGCCTCCCGAGTTCTGGGATTACAGGCATGCACCACCCCACCCTGCTAACCTGACTCTTACACAGTACACTTGTGACAGTTTGCAACTCAAATGTTAGTGAGAGCCACTCACATCACCACCACTCTCCTTCCTGCCCACAGTATGTGGGTGCTTTACTATAAAAGTCACTCAAAGCTAAACTACTTGGGGTTTGGCTGATGGAAGCAGATGCTGCCTTCCATTTTTCTCCTCCAGGGTTCAAATCCCACTTGAACCTAAGCACTTTGGCCCAAAACACAAGAGCAGTTGTTATAAGTGACATTCCTAGAATCCCTGGACTCGACCCAATTTTATTTATGTATGTATGTATGTATGTATGTACTGGGAATTGATGGATTGGAACAGAATTTGAAGGTGCAGTTGAAGGTGCCAGGCCTAGTCCTGCAGGACTACAGTACATTCTAGTTTGGTACTTGTGGTGGAGTGAGGCGGAATTCTGACCTTGAGGGGAGGGAGGTCTAAAGATAGCTGCCCACAGAGATTGATTTACAAGGTGAGGTTAGAGGAACTAAAAAAATTGTTGGTCTCACCATGTAGTTCAAATTGCCCTTAAACTCACCATGTAGCCTACTAGGTAGCAATCCTCCTGCCTCAGCCTCCCAAGTGCTGGGATAACAGGCATATGCCATCACACCTGGCCTGGAGGAGCTAAATTTTGCCCCTGCAGTGCTAGGGATTTAGCTTAGGGCCTTCACACTGCACTATACCCCCAGAACTTTTTCTACTTTTTGAGACAGGGTCTCACTAAATCAAGTTACCTCAGCTAGAATCAAACCTGCCATCCTTTTGCCTCAGCCAGAGGCATGCGCGGGATCACAGGCGTGCACCAACTCCCCAGCTCAGAAGAGCTAAATTTGTCATCTAAGCATGAACTTGGGGCACGATAACCTGCAGACATTCCTATTGTAGCCCATGAATGGTAACGGCCACCCTCCTGTACCCAATAAGGTTATTCACAAGTACTCAGTGTCAGGCAAGAAAATGGGGTAGGCAGTTTTTTAGCAGAGCAGCCTCTGCAGACCTTGCCCTGGCCCTCCCAGTCTCTCCCAGCTGACCCCCCTGGCGGGTGTATCTTGGCCACCCGTGAGAGTTGGAAAGCAGTGGGTAACCTACCCACGGCATAGCTGGCCATCAAGAAGCCAACAGATCCAGCCAGCACCTGGAAATCCCGATGCCTGGTCTTGTGAACAATCAGCGCAATTTTAGTCACCTGCAACAGCAAGCATGGGATGAGAGCCAAGCCCAGGTCCGCCATGAGCCTGAACAGGCGGCCTAGCTCCCAGAGAGAAGCTCTCATGTTCAAAGGCCCAGAGAAGCCACTCAACAGAGAGAACCCAGGACCAACGCTGATCCCAGAGTGACCCTGAAGCAGTTAGCTACGTCCCAGGGCCAGTGAAGGGGGAGGCCATCCCAGCCTGGGGGCAGCTGCCACTCACATCACCACCACTCTCCTTCATGCCCACGATATTTGGGTGCTGAGAAAGCGTGACCACTGCATCCACAGGCAGATCCAACCCTGTGTTGGCTGGGACGTTGTACAGCAGCACGGGGATTGGAGAGAGATCAGCAACCTGAGGGGCACAGAGAGAAAGGAGACGCTGGCAGCTGCCCCAGTCCCCAGAGCTACAGGCCTGGCCCCAGCAGGGCAGGGTCTGCCGTCTGAACGGTTCTGCCTCCTGAACCGCCAGTGCTATAGACCCTGACTGCCGCTACTGCGGAATGATGGAGGGTATCCATGGTGTGAGATCTACATGCTAGGCACAGCTCCAAATCCTTTGCGTTCCAGATCTCATTTAACCCTCAACAACCACTGTTCCTCGCATTTTAGAAGGGGAGGAAACAGTGACCCAGTGGTCCAGGGGTCTACAGCTGGTGTATGGCAGCCGTGTCCACAGCTGCGTTCACTTGAAGCAGGCTCGCCATGCCGTTCCTAGCTTCTCCCAGCTCCTCTTATTCCCAGGCCTTGGCCTACGCCCACCCCTCATATCCACCTTGGTGTAGTGGTGAATGAGGGCAGCGCTGTCCATGCGGCCACGATAGTAGCAAGGGGTCACCACCAGGACAGCGTCAGCCCCAACCTGCGCCATGCTGACCGTCATCTCCACAGTGGCTTGAGTGGCTGCAGAAGGGAGAGCAGGAGGAAGTGTCAGTCTGGGCCAATACCCTGGGACTGGCAAAGGGAGCCTCAGAGTGTCCCCGAGAGGCAGAAGCTGACAGAACCCAGCCCAGGGCCGAGGAGCCTGGACCCCACAGCCCAGCCAGCCCAGGCCCCAGGGCATTCAGGCCTCACACTCGCAGCCGGAGCCTGCTAACAGGAGCTTGTCCTTGGGCATGATCTGGCGCACTCGGCTCACCACCTCCAGACGCTCGCTGCTGGTCAGTAAGGGGAACTCGCCAGTGGAGCCTTGGACCACAAAGCCTGCAACAGAGGCCCTATCTCAGAAACTGATCCCTTCCCATCCTCCCAGGAGTGACTGGGACACGGGTGTTCAACACCCGCCAGGTTCCTACTGCCCCAAGACCATAGCTTGCCACATCTTTCCTGCCCATCCCTGTCCTCACTTAGGACGACTGCTTCTTACCAGGTGTACAACAGCCTCCTTAATAGCTCTTCTTTGAAGAATCCCCCCACCCTCAGTACTGTTGACTGAATTCACATGCTAGGCAAATGCTCTACTAGTGAGCTATAGCCTCAGCCTTTTTATGAGGCAGGATGTGTCTACATTGCCCAGGCTGGCCTTAAACTTGCAATCCTCCTGCCTCAACAACCCCAGGTATGGAGATTGTAGGTATATGCCACCATGACCAGCTATTTTTTGTTTAATGAAATATTTTAACCACACCAAAACGAATGGTCAGTAATATGACCCACACCTGGGTACCCAGTACCCACAGCAAACCTGATCCCGACCACCCCCCTCCTTCCAGCTCCTGGTCTTGAGTCAGGCCTTTATTGTTCTCAATCATGCCTTTGTACGCTTGCAACATACTTATGGACCCATGATTACACAAAGACTTTTGTAATTTTAAGCTTTGTAGAAATAAAACAAACCTTACATAACTTTCTGCAGGTTTTTTTTTTTT